TTTATATTTGGCAACAATTTGGTATTTACTCTAGAAAAAGTCTCAGATGAGATAGTGGTAAATTTGTTCCATGAAAGGTCCAAAGTCAATGATGTATTTCCATATATTTTTGGTATATTTCGAGGAACTGTTCGCAAGTTCAGATAACGACAATGCCATAACCATCCTCGATTCTCACATTCATCGGTGTAAGGGCTGAAGCTACACAGCTCAGTACTAATCTTTCCTGCCTTATCTAAATGAAAAAAACTGGTATTTGTCAAGCAAAAAATATTTCACTTATAACAATAAAATGAAATAGTAAACGTTGCATAATTTTTCTACTTGTTTGTAAATTACAATTAAGATTAAAGTTTACCATGAACAATGCATCAAATTAAGTCGTCTTCTTCAATACGGGTAAAAAAAACAACCCGGTACTAACCGAGAACATAGAAAATGACAAGATATTTGATGACTCCGAGATGAACCATCACGACAGCCAAATGCTACGAAAATGATATAATTCCTTAGGAGAATTCTCTGTTGTCTTTTATCAAGCATCAATTATAGATCTACACAAAATACGAGGGCTGTTCGAAAATTATTGAGACATTGTGTATATTTTTCTTTCTAATGAACGTCTTTCGGTGAAAATTTGCACATACGTTTGACATACACTAAGAATTACTATAATAGAAAATATTTTACAAATATTAAATATTTTCTGTACAACGGTATATAAATGCGTCATCAGTAGGGGTACCCGGAGCAGTCTCGAAATCAGACATTGAAAATATGTAGCCCCAACGTTTTAACTCTTCGTGGACCCATAATAAGAGCGAAAATAATTCTGTTTATGTGTATTATTTTTCAGCTGTAATTCAAATTCATGTTATGCAACTTTGTCAGAATTTTGATCAGGAATATGGAGATCATAAAAAATTAAGCGCGGTAGAGAAATCTGCTAAGAACGAAAAAAAATGATTTTGACGTCAAGGGCGGAGCAGCGAACATACCTAAAATTTTGTGTAGCACAATGTAGAACTCTTTTGCAGACTCAACGACCTGCTAAAACAATAACAACGAGAAAAAAAAATGTGTTAGGGTTTGTTATTCCATTGGTATACATTTTTCTTTTGCAATTAATTAAATTAAACCAGAGTAAAATCAAAAGCCCCGGACGAACATCAGTTATTACATACAGTATTTTTGTCGGTACGGTATTAATATCGTTGACATGCTTTGCATACATCGCCACTGCATAATTTGAAGTCATCTTTTTCCACGAATGAAAATCTTACACTCAGGTAGCAACAGCATACATTTTTAAGGAAGTTCATGAAAATAGACTGTTTGATTTTTGTACTGATATATGTAATTACAAAGAAGGAAAAGTATACATGCTCCCCAATCGTTTTACATGCGAAACCATCTCCGACTGACGTGACGTTAAATGACGCAGCGATGCTGCTCCGGGTCGATAGACATATGCATGTTTATCATTTCACCGAAACTTTTCTTATTATCATAGGAATTAGAAATTTAGCACAAGTGTTTTGTTTGTTCTTCATAAAATATTGATGAATTTTCATGAAATTATCTCCGTCCTTTATGGAGTAAATGTAATTGTCTCAATAATTTCCAAACAGCCCTCGTAATTGATAATTATATATAAACGCTTATTTTAATCTGTAAGATTTTTTTCGTTTCTAAGAATCTCACTTTTCAGTTTACAATGGAGCTAGTATTGATAAATGTGACCTTCTCCGAACACATAAAATAAGCAAGTATGTAAATATGTAATTAATATGCATGTAGTATTTTAAAATGCACTTCTCTAATATGTAGATCTAGAGGGAGTCAGGAATGTTTAATTTTTTTTTCATTTACATGTACTGTTAACTTAGGCTGTTATGATCCAGTTGGGAATATATATCTAAAGGCTTAACATTGCAATATAAGACAATATTTTTCCCATTTAAAATACAATAATATGAGAGGTAATTGGGGTCTATGAATTATTTAACCTAATTTGTTCGTAAAAGAAAAATAGCTGGTAATCATATAAATCTCTTGGAGATATATGATTTGCTTGTACATATGTAATATGTAGTAATCAAAAAAAATCTAAAAAGAGAGAAGAATTAATTTCGTTACAAGTCTTAACAAGTCTATACAGTTATGAAAAACAACGAGTACAACAGGAGTACAAATAGGTTGTTCTTAGAATGAAAAAAATACACCTACCTTTATTACTCGATGATATGATAAATGTGCCCGGTGAAGAAGTTTTACTAATATTAACCAAAACTGATATCATTCTGATATCCATCGATAAGGCTGTTTGTACTTCGATATAATTTGCAGTAATTTATTCAAATCAGTTTGAATTCAAATTAAGGAAATTTAGAACATGAGTATTTTTCTAATGGTGAATATCATTCTTCCTTGTTGGAATCGAATTGACATGAAATGGTGGCCTATTTTATAAATTTCCATGGTTTAAAGCATTCATCGTCCATTCTGAATAACACATAATACTAATGAATAGATTATAGGCGTGTTCCCAAATAAAATTAGTGATATTTCGCATTTCCATGTTTTAATTCCTTCTTCTTTCCTCCTAAGAAGGAGATTCTCTTATAAAGACCGTCTGGTACCTGGAATGAAAATAATTACTCCATTTATGCCTCGCTTCCCCACCTATTGCTTTGCACCTGTCGGTCGAAGGCTTGCTTAATCGTGCTGTAGACGACGTCGTGAGGACCATTTGCTTTGCTTTTTGGATAAGAACAAATGACTCTAACTATTAAAAAATTCAAATGTCATTGGTAAATCCGGACATTTGGAAACAGTGAAAACTAGGTATGTTAATGTGAACTTTTGCTCAAAGACATTAAAGTAGGTATACTAGCAAAGTTGCACTGGTACAAATGTGCGTTTTGATCTAAACACAATGAAAAATAATTTTTCAATACTTGCAATTTTTGTAAGTTATAAAGCTGAATAGAAGGATATTATATTGAATCCTGTATCCTCTACGCGTACGAAAATTTACGCTTATACGTAAGGCTGATAAAGGTTTCAGTACGATCAATAGACGAAATCCGCCTCACATCTCCAAAGAACTAAACAATACCATTAGGCAAAGAAAAGATATATCATACTATATCATACTACAAATATACTACTAAAACTAAAAGCTTTGAACAAATTTGCATGAACAAATGAGTTATTTATGAGAAGTGTGTTGTTGCCCTTTCAAATATGGCTTACTTCCTTGATGTATAATTGACATAGTTATTATTTAACAATATTTTTGCTTGCAACACCTTGCATATCAAATCAACGTCAAAAGGAACTGGTACGATGAAACCTATGTTAACATACCGGTATTATCCTCTTTTGAATCATTCACTTTACGTGCCAAATTAAGGCCAATTTCCTGATTTCAAAACAGAATTCTATCGGTGCCACTTCTAAATATATTTTTGTGAAGCTTACTGCTGTGATTGAAATTAACATTTCCTTGTGCCATCATTACATTTTCAGACTTCGATATTTCTGTTAAATCAACGTTTTTGTCTCACTATTTTTCTGTCAGATTAATAGGTTAAATAATATAATTTAATATTTATGACTTTTTTTAGCTTTTGACATGGGAGGAAAGAAATTTTATTTACCACAATTTTTCGAAAACGTTGGATTTCTTAATATATTTCACAAAGGATTTTACTCTGTTTATTTCATTTTGTGACTGTCGAAAGTAAGAGAATGCAAAATTGTTTGATTAACGTTCCTTTCGAGAATTTGTCACTCATATGAAGACGCCCAGCAAAATAGAAATGAATGCTGTGCAATGTTCGCACACATGTAACAAAACTACAATGGTCAATGGAAAAGGACGAAATATATCTTTGTTGCCTTGGCAACATTTTCCTAGTTTACTTTGTTAAACATAGAGGGACAATTCTGGAGTGGGTTTGATCTATACGTTCTTGAAAGCATTATTTCCTTCTAATTAAAGACTCCATGACGTGGAGTAAGTGCAGAGTTGAACTGTATCTTACAAAGTTCAATATAAGACAAGCGAGACTGGTGTGGAATTGCGGTCGGATTTAGTTTACAAATAATATATTTATGCTCGGCCTGTTTCAGAATAATTTTACTTCGACATCTTCTGAAAATTTCGAGGATATCTGGTAAATTTCCAGGATTGCCCTTTCCCTGTATTAAAACAAGGAAAAGCAGAAATTCTTTCCAAATCATTATTTATTTATTGTTTATTCGATATTTCATCTAACGACCTTTTTGTTGTTTAAATTTAATATGCATACTTTAACATAAGAGTATCGAAAATCTTAAAGTTTTATCAAGCTCTTTATATCTTTGAAATGATATATATGGAGATAACTAACATTATTCAAGCTCAAAATTCCATCAAACAATACAAAATAGGAGCAGACCTCTTAAATATAATTATATGAGGGGTGAGATAAGGTTCCATGGAAAGTAAGTGTGATAAGAAAATAGTATAGGTCATAGAATATGTTTTGCATTTATATGATCTGAAGTAAATCTATTCCCACAAGTGGTGCGAGGATTGTGTTCATGTACGTGGACTATTTTAAACAACAGATATCGTGAAAGTAAAGTATTTATTTGAACTTTAGCATCTTGTGTGCACTTGGAGCAACTGTAAATAATTTTGAAACTGTTCAAAATAAATTACAGCTATCTCGTCCACAAATCCTTTGTGTCTATCCAAGAGCATAACGATTCTGCGTTTTACAATTATATTTGAGATGTTCAAGTATGACTAGTTGCACCTATTACCTTCCATTAGAATCTTTTATTATATCATGTGATACTACACTTGTTTTATATGATTTCGTTTTTACAAGCTGTGACTCTATCAATTGATTCAAAAAGAGACTATTATAAATGCAAAATCAATTAAAATGTATTTAAAAGGGCGTTATCAAAGCTATTATTCCCACAACACGTAGGAGTTATATTAATCAGATGTTACAATATACGGTATAAATTTCCGTTAAATTGAAAAATTCTACGAGTCTACAAATGGTCTAAAGAAAACACGCCAAGAAACAACTGTTCCTGCAACGAGTTAGTTAGCTTTGGTAAGTTTTCTACTTTTAAATAATATTTTGTGTAATAATATCTTGTGTGTTTAACATGTATTTATTATAACAGGGGCGTTCAATATGTATAAAAATGTGATAATAAACAGTTAATAAAGTACAGTCAAACATTCATTAAAATAATTCAGCAAACGAGGATCTCTAAGACGTAAGAGTTAGGATCAGGTTCCACAGAAATTCCATAAATTCCTTTTCTACTTTTAATTTCTTCATCAGATCTAGACTGGACACAGTAATTTGATATGAAAAAAGCCTTTTGCTTATTTAATAAACCATGCGTTCCAATGTTTCAATGGACAACTCTTTTTTGCAGTTTTCAAACAGAACTCGCAAATGGAAATTAAACAAAAGAGTGTTGCACTATTGGTATTGGCAATTCTTCTGAAAGCCAAAGGATGCGTCATTATTAATAGTTCTGAAATAGAAGGACAATGCAAAACTAAAACTGTTGTACTACAGGATCTCATAAATCAAGGAATTTTGATGAAATCGTCACTTTCGACAAAATTAAACATGCTATCTTCAGGGATTGAGCAACTCCAATGTACAGATTGTAACGCAACAGCCACAAGACAAGTTATCCAGGGCTTGAATTCTGCACTGGAATCTATGCACAATCATCTAAATATGTGTTTAGAAAAAACTGCCGAGAGAGGTATTGAATGTATAGAAGAGATAAAATAGAAGAAATACTACTATTAAGTATTAATTTATAGATTGTTTATTAAATTTATATTAAACAGGTCTTTAGATCTTAAAAAATAGTTAATCTTTTATTCTGTCAATTATAATTATTATAAAAATATTTTTGTGAGAATGATTGTTTACATAAAAATATGAAATCTGACGATTGTTTCTCCCACAGCTTTTCTTAAGGACTGCCAAATCCTATTGAAATTTGGGTTTGTCGAAAGTAAGGTCTACACGATTTACTCACAAAAAGGTCAAGGGTTCCGAGTTTACTGTGACCAGACAACAGACAATGGAGGGTGGATGGTAGTATTTTAAGCTATCAGAAATCAGTAAATTAAATATTGTTTGGAAGAAACGATTTTTCCTCATTTTTAACATAAAAAAAATCAAAATAGTTTATAGAGTTGATGTAATAGATGGTACAGGAATATTAAGGTATCTACAAGTTACATTTTAACACATTCCTATATGTTATATGTACAACAACAACAACAACAACAACAACAACAACAGCAATAATAATGATAATAATAATAATAATAATAATAATAATGATAATAATAATAATATTTTTGCATTTCAAAAATATTAATATCAATAAACATTTATTCCGAAAAACAAGACTTTTGAATCATTTTAGATAAAAAGTACTACCCATCTTTAATTCTATATTAGGTTATTCAAAGGAGAAAAGACGGATCATCAGATTTCTATAGAAACTGGGCTGATTACAAAAACGGGTTCGGTGATCTTTCAAATGAGTTCTGGCTTGGTAAGTTTACTCAAAAGGTAATGCAGTGTACACGATAAATAAAATACATTATTTCCTCTTAGTATGGGTATGTAGCTAATAAATACTGTATGCATAGTTATATTCGCCCAATGTACTTTTCGCCCTTTTGCCCTTGCCAACAAATTTGTCAAGATTTGAATTCGCGCAATCACAGTTCTATTTAGACATTATCCGAGCTGTGTTATTCGACCGGTTTAAATACATCCAAATGTGATAAGGGTGAAATGGAAAGGGTCGAAAGTAAACCAGGTTCAAAATTCCCCTGACGTGTATACAGTATGTAAGATTTTTGTCTGTAAATTAGTACGTTACATGTAGTAAATAAAGGTGTTAAATCTGTTGAATGACTTTGAAAATAGAAAACTAGTTCACAGCAGTTCTGTATTTTTTCCTTAATTTGTAGGAAATGATAAGATTCACGAAATTGTAAAAACTGGACACTACATGTTGCGAATTGACATGAAAGACTTTGATGGAAATCAACGTTTTGCCATCTATAGAAAATTTAACGTTGGGGATGAGAAATCTGGTTACATTCTAACCGCGGGAGGATACAGTGGGACTGCTGGTAAGAATGATTGATTGATTGTATAGCGTTAACCTCTCTCTCGAGGATTTTCTCTCATATGGAGATACCAGCACCTACTGCGACACGGGATCTTAGTTAATACGGTGTCATCCGAATGCCTGGTTTTTACGTCCTACGGTTGGATTCGAACCGCGCCGTAAGGATTGACCATTTACTGCGCGACTTTTAAACAGACTCTCTAACAACTGCGCCACCCGGCCGACATTTTACATTTTCATTTGTAAGCCTTTTTTCAATTCTTTATAGGAGATTCCCTTTCTCATCATAACGGACAGAAATTTTCTACAAAGGACAGAGACTTTACCGGACGCTGTGCCACAACTTATAAAGGTGCCTGGTGGTATGCCAAGTCTTGTCACTTATCTAATCTTAACGGACTCTATCTCAAAGGAAAACACTCATCTTATGCTGATGGGGTTAACTGGTACAGCTGGCATGGGCATTATTATTCCTTAAAAGAAACTGAAATGAAAATAAGAAAAGTAAACAGTCAATAAATAAGCTTTTCAACCAGAAGAAAAGCCATTTCTTATTTTTTTCTTACCATTATATATAATTAAACACTTAACTGGTAGATACATGTATCCAAATGTCAATAATAAATTATTTGCCACAGCACATGGCAATTTTAAGGAATTAGTTTTTATACGAGTACAAATGTGAGATAATTGCAGTTTTAAAGATGTAGAAACGAACAATTACGTATATGTTAAACACACAGTATTGCATAGAGAAAAATCATTCCATGGAAAAAAAAAATAAATGAATGAAGGATATGGAGATGACGAACAGTATTCAATCTCAAAGTCCATTAAACAATATACAAAATAAAAGCAGAGCAAACACGGACCTCCGAAACATCAGAGATGGGATCAGGTGCCATGGAGGAGTGAGCATCCCCTGCTAATAATAATAAATAAATACTAGTTAAAAACAAAAACACAAACAAGTAAACAAACATAATAGATTAGATAATATTTACTGGACAAAAAAAGTTTAGGATCATCAAACTAAATATGTTTTACAAATATTGTATCATAGAAAACAGAATGCAGTTTTAATTCTAGTATCATACTTTATACTTGTGACACGATAGCGGTGTTTTTCTTTGAAGTTTACTGTTCTGTATTAGCAATACAGAACGGGAATGTGGTGGGCGGAGCTACTTTCTGCTCTATATTAGCCCTGTATACAGTATTGTATTTGCCAACTATTTTGTATCTTATATAGAGCACGGTCTAAAAATAAATCTGATTCAATTTAGCAAATCACGTACAAATAGTAAATGCTGATGTTTTCATATAAATCCCTCTCGCTGACCACAGCCACATGTCTCTTTCACTAGGTTTTTATGTCGCAATTCAATTTCAAAATAAGAAACCGTGACATCAAATTCCATCGAAGAATTTTCTGTAAATCCTGTTCTGTAAATCTATTTAAACAGTTCGAGGAAACAACCTTATATGGATATTGTTGTCATTGCGCACAAAGGTGCTCACAGCAAAAAATGATCCGATCTAGTGAGCAAGAGGCCCAAGCTAAAGGGCCTTGAATCGCTCTTCTGATAAATTGTACAACCTACAATCACTTGTATTTGAAGCCTCTAACCCTAAGTATCCTAAGACCCAAGTTGCATCAACTGACAAAGTTGGATGATTCTTAGCCAACTAGGACTGAAGATATTTTAATAAAGCTATAAAAAAGACCTACTTTAAGATTGAAGTTTCCTGAGGACTCAAGATGCATTAATAGACAAAATAAGATTGAAGATTCTAAGCCAATAAGTATTTGAGAAACATGTATTCAAAAGTAAGCCACCTTGACCTACTTTTTGGTCTACATTCTTGGAAAATCCAAAATGTATCAACTAACAAAGTTTGATGATTCTAAGCCAATAAATACCTAAGATACTTAAATATAGCCTTAAAATGTCAAAAGTGGGTCATCGTGACCTACATTTTAGTCGACATTTTTCAGAGTCCCAAGATGCATCTTCTGACTAAGTTTGATAATTCTAAACCAATAAATACCTGAGATATTCAAAAGTAGGTCACCGTGACCTAAATTTTGGTCGACATTCTCTGAAAACCCAAGAAACAACAACTAACAAAGTTTGATGATTCTAAAGTGATAAGTACTAGAGATACTTAAATATAGCCATGAAATGTCAAAAGTAGGTCACCATGACCTACTTCTTGGTCGACATTCTCTAAAAACCCAAGAGGCATCAACTAACAAAGTTTGATGATTCTAAGTCAATAAGTACTAGAGATACATAAATATAGCCATAAAATGTCAAAATTAGGTCACCGTGACCTAATTATTTGTCGTCACTCTCCGAAAACCCAAGATGCATCAATTCACAAAGTTTGACGATTTTAAGCCAATATAAATACCAAATATACTTAAATATAGCCATAAAATGTCGGAAGTAGGTCACCGTGACCTACATTTTTGTCAACTTTTTTCAGAGTTCCAAGATGCATCTGCTTACCAAGTTTGATGATCAGAGGTCTGAAGGTAATCAAAATATGCCTTTTAAACAATTTGAAAACAAATGCCTGCGAAATTCTAAAAGTAGGTCACAGTGACCTACTTTTTCATAAATATGATTTTAGGTCCCAAGGTGCAGCAACTTAAAAGATTTGATGATTCTAACCCTCTCAGTGTCTGAAATAATGGGATTAAATGTTTTAAAAAGGATAAGTCATAAAGTTCAAAAAGTAGGTCATGGTGACCTACCTTTAAGTTGACGTTGTTCAAGGACCCAAGATGCATCAACTGAAGTTTGATGATCATAGGCCTTAAAGTGTTCAAAATATGCCTTCAAATCAATTTGAAAACAAATGTCTGCAAAATTAACAATGTAGGTCACCGTGACCGACTTTTGAGTTAACATGATGTGAAGTCCTAAGATGCATCAACTTACAAGATTTGATGATCTTAGTCCTTATAGTTAGCAAACTATGAACATTTTTATTATTTGTAAATTTAGGTCAACTTTGAAGTGACCTTGAGACCACACCCTTTGCCCCAGGGTCATGCCTCGAACAATTTTTAATCTTCAACATATCCTGATCCTTGTATGTAAGTTTGGTGAAAATCTGATTGGTGGTTCTGGAGAAGATTTTTTAGCAACCAGTACTTTTGGTTTTATTTTCCTGATTATCTTCCCTTGTTTTAGGGTCCCAACACTTATTTTAATATAAATGGTAGCCCTTGGGCCAAGGATACCCTGTGACAAATTTGACACTGATTGGCCGAGGGGTTCTTGAGTTATGGCCCATTTTCTAAAAAGTTAACGCACACCGCACAAATGGCCATAGCATTAGCTCTTTGAGCCTTTGGCTCAGAAGAGCTAATAAGCCGAAAGGCACGATGGTCTGCTACATGTTTATTTTTACTACAAACACGTGGGTTAAAGGAAATTTAGGATGCGATTTCAAATGACTGCTGTAAAGCCAATTTACAATATTTTTTAAACGTGTTTGAGAAAAATACAAAGAGTAGGTACTAATCAAAAGTTCCCATGCTCACATTAACAAACAAAGTCAGTTTTCTTTGTGAAATAGTACTTTGAAATACCGCTAACAAAGTCTCCACAAGTAAAAAATAAAGGACTCCAGTACTTGATAATCGTAAATTTGCAATGTAACTGGCCGAATTCGTTGTTGCTCAGTTATTTGTTTATAGAAATTTAAAGTTCATGCATTTACAAAAAGGATTGAGTTGCACGTTTTTTTTTTAAATTTACCTCTATATTAATTCTCATGTGCATTGTTCATAAAATGTGTATTGAGTAGCATAATGTATGTTTCGAATTTGTATACGTTGTAAACATTGTCAATACGTGAGCACACCTCAGAGTTGGTTTTTTTTTTACCGATGAATAGCCACGTGAAATTGACTTTTCACTGACAGTACACACGGGGAAAGCTGTAAACAAACGGTTTTGTACAATGGAGTGGAGAATACCCAAATTTTTATCATTGTTAATCATTTGTATGTAAATGTGATCATGGGATTAGTAGGTAATAATGTACATATTATATTAAGCGTGTAAAATGCTTGGGAAAATGCATCACGTTTTTCCGAGAGCGATTTAAAAAAAAGCTTTTCGAAACACACATTTGTAGTAACCCATAATGCAACTCATTGAGCTGATTGGTCGAATCGTCAGTCACGTTTTGTTCCTCACTTAACATGTAAATTTATTCCGACGTCACAGAAAATAGTTTCTTCGACCTGTTAAACCGGGAACTTAAGACCTCTAAATAAAATATGATAAATCTCCTCTACAATAGATCACACCAATGAAGGTAAAATCCTCCAATTTATCCATTAGGCTGATTATCACTCGTTACGTCTACCCCGTTAGATTGTCAATACTAATCTGACCGAATTTAACGTTTTCCGTGGAAAGTTACATGAACTGCACTATTTCTGGATTTGTACAGGGCAAAGGTACATCCTTTCAAATGAACGGATACAAAGACGGCTGTATATGATGAGAAACTATGAAAAAATAAATTGGGAACTGTAATGATATATCATCCAAGAGCATGTAAAAATCTTACCAATTGTTATATGTGAAACTTATTTAAAGTGATAGAATAAGATCAAAAGTTATTTATAAATCTCTTTTAAAATATATTTTGTTTTCACCTTACACAATTTTGCATTATAACAATGTGACCTTAATATGTGCGAAAAACCATGTGAGCTTAAAGTTTCGTCAAAGGTCAACATGTCAAAAAATTTATTTTTACAATAACTCCAAAACTATGTGAGATATAGAGTTAAAACTTTTTTAGTTAATATTTTTTCATTGATAAACAGATAGAAAGTATCACTTGATAAAAAAATACCTGGAAAAAATATTTAAATTGAGAAAAAATGCACATATTTTAAGAAAATGAACCTAATTTATTCCGTGCTTTTAGTGAAAATCATCACTGCAGAAACAAAATATGTTTATCAATGAAGGGCAAGTAGGACTTGGATCTGGAAAGTTGTTTTCCCTGTTTATTTTGTCCAAATGTTAAGACTTGAAAGTAAAAGTACATTGCAAATGGAGGGTTCTACAGGGGTCTTGTCTTTATACATGTCATGCTTACAATAACAGCCTTTCAGAGACCATTCACGTCCAACTTGCCCTTCAATGATAAACATGTATCATTTCTGCAATGATGGTTTTCACAAAAAGGATATAATTATGCAGGTGCATTTCTCTTTAAATATGCACATTTTCTGATAAGATTTTTATCAAAAAATATTTGTTATCAAGTGATACTTTCTATCTATTATTCAATGATATATTTATAAACTGTAAAAGTTTTGACTTTATACCACACAAAGTTTTGGAGCTATTGTAAAAAAAATTTTTTTTAGACATGTTGACCTTTAACGAAACCTTAAAATGTGCGTTGAGCTGTATATATACTGCGGATACGTACTCCCAGTCGGTGCCTCATCTACAGAACTCGTGCGGAAGTTTGGATGCTGC